GGGTATGGTCGTATGTGCTTATTGTGTGCCTCAGATATGCCTATAAACCCACCCCAATGTCATGTGCATTAAACCAAAAAGAAATCCTGCCTCTTTCCCCTATCGTCCTCCTCCTCCTCCTCCAACATCCCCTCCAACTCCCCAGCCATGATCCCATCACAATATGCCTCGCCTACAATAGTGTAGTACCTTCCGTTATTCCTTCCATCTTCATCTCCATGCCCGTCTCCATGCCCGTCTCCACCTCCATCCCCGTCACCGGCTCCGGTCGCGACAGGCCTAAGCACATAAGGAATACTATCCCCACACAACAAAACCACAACATCACCAGGTTGCGCATGTCCGGGAGCCATTCCCAGGTACCCCTTTTTCCCCGTAAGAAAGGGGCGTTTCCTGTCCATGTGCATCATGTTGTGGAGGTAGGATCCTTTGGCGCGAAGGTCTTCCCACCGGTTGGACAGGAAGTCGAGGGTTTCCTGGTCTAGTTCGGGTGATGGTGGCTTGTTGTCGCTAGGGTTGTCGTTGTCTTTGTCGTTGTCACTTTGCTGTTGCTGCTGCTGCTGCTGTTGTTGCTGTTCTCGTAGTTCTTGCTGTTCCTCATCCACTTCAAAGCAAAATTTGCAATGATCAATCAACTCCCTAAATACCGGGACAACATCCTCCGCGCTTGCCCTTCCTCTTTTCCTGGGGCCGTTAATGTACAAGTCACCTAAGGGTACGCGCCAGAAGGCTTGGTTGCGTCTTGTCGGGTTGTCGGGGTATATCTCGTCGTCACCGGAGCTAGAAATCTTTTCTGCCGAGCGACGCATCATGTCCCTGATAATGGAAAAGTACTGCAGGATGTAGCGGTGATATCCCTCCAAACCCCACTCTTGACGCCATGGCCGGCATACGGCCTCGATCTCGTCGACCACCAAGCCCCGGAGTCCGAGGATCGAAGGGGTGGAGGTAGGTGTAGGGATCAGGTCAACTTGGTTCGAGAACTTGCCGCAGGCTGAGTAGATGTTGTCGATGAAATGGTAGCTGTAGTGCGTCCCGTTGGCCCAGTCGGGGACCCATGACGGTAGTTGTTCCGGGTGTTGTTGATGTCCATCCTCGTCCGCATCCTCGACGTTGTGTTTGGGAAATTGTGCAAAGCGGAGAATGTAAACGCTACCTTCCTTTTTGATGATACTGCGTGCTGTCTGAGTGAGCACCTGCGCCGTCGTGGTCGTTTTGCTGTAATCCGGCCGAATGTCGAGCTCCTCGGCATCGCTCGCTAGACCAAGCAGCCCGTATACTCTGTCACGGTATTTGGTAGAGAGAATGTCGACGCGGCTGTCGCCTAGATCAAGCCGCGTGGATACATCTTCGAGTAGTTCTCGTAGCGTGGTCTGTTTCCCACGCTTCCACGACCCTTTTGTTCCGAACAGATGCTGCATCGGAGGCGGGATCAGGCTTGCCGGTAGCGAATCTTTCAGAGAAAGAATTTCGGGATGGTTGTCTTTGAAGGCGTTCCGGAATCTTCTGTCATTATTGAAGTCGGGAAGAACGAGAAAGAGTTCCCAAACCAGCAGGACTATCTCATCCAGGACTGCCCTGTCGCCGCAGACAAAGAAGGTGTACTGGTTGAGACAAAATTCCTGGATGGTCCATATCCGGGAAAACCAGCGTCTCTTATACCAAGCCAATATCTTCTTCTCAGCCAACAGCGGGACGACGATCGGTATAACCTTTCGTAACAAAGCTTGGACCTCGGGGGTCTCTATCCGGTTGTAAAAGATGGCGCGAGGGGCAGGAAACCATTTCGTCGAGCGTTTGCCGCCAAAGAGTCCGGAGTCCCACATGCACTCGGCAACCTGGCAGAAGGCTTGGATGACCTCGTCAGAGCCATCAGCATCTAGACCGAGCCAGGCGTAAACTTCATTTGACGACGAGTAGATCTGTTTCATAAGTTGAATCTGACATGACTTCTCTTCATCATCATCTTGGTTGATGCAGACTTGGTCGATCCAGAGAGGTGTTAAGCGAAGTTCCTTGTATGTACGGAATTGGCGTAGACAGGTATCTAGTGACGATGTGATGGGGAGGATAGACGTGTGTACGTGCTTGTGTTGAAGACCCTCTTCCGTCGATGTTTTTGCCCGGTCGTAGTCCACGATCCGGATGCTGTGGGTTTTGGTGTTCTCGCCCCATGCGTATGACACAGCGCTGTACCTTGGCAAGTCCGTGATGGGCGCAGAGTACAGTTTGCAGTAGAGCTCATCGTTATTGTCAGGAACCGGGCAAAGCTCAAGCAGGCGAATGTGAGTCGCGGCATCGGCGAGGGGCACCAAGTCGTAGCTGAAGTGAGGTTCATTGGTTGTGGCCATCTTTTTGCCTGGGTATGGATGGCATGGGTATAGGCAGTGGTGATACCATGGGCCAGTACACCCGATCAGATATAAAGGCGTCAGATATGGTCGGAGGCAAAGCAGACCGGCGAGATGAAAAATGAGTGGATGATTCGATAGAGCAGATATTGTTGTGGAAAGAAGTTGACGGCAAGAGGAAGGAGTTCTGGCCGAGGAGGGGAGTGTACAATCTAATGCTGGTTTGTTTGTTAGCTTGGTACCTCTATTAGACTGGACAAGATCAAAGTCGGACTGTCCCAAACTCTATCAACAAGTTTCTATATAGTTTATTAGATTCCCAAACAGCATATGCAAGGCAAGATTACCCTTTAGCCATAGAGCAAAACGGTTCAATGAGATGATGAAACGCCTCGGAAAGTTGACCAGAAGTCTCGAGCTAACAAACCAACCAGTATTGGACTGTAGTGTTCATAGTGGTCAAGTAAGCGCGCAATTGAGGCATCCCATTCGCTGCCCACCGTCGTGGTAAGATTTAAGCTTGAAGTGTGGGGAGATATCCGAACAAACGACTCGATGCGAGAGGAAGTTGTTGGAAAATACTCCGAGCGCCAAGGTGTTTTCGCTCACTCGTCGGAAGATGGGAATTGTTAGTGTCTTCTTTTTCTTCCACGGACGAATGTTGAGCTTACCCGGTGACTAGATCCTTCTCTTCCAGACCCATTTCATCTGATATAATCGCCACCTCATCAAGACCGAGATCCCACCCTGCCCAGAATGCTATAAAATTGACGCTCTCAGTTCCATAAAGATAATTATACAAAAAGCTTTTAGTAGTCCTATATAGCCCGTTAGCTTTCCCAACACTACATCACAAATTAGGTAACCACGAGGGAGCTCAGACAGCTTCCCAATCCATAGCATCCACCATAAACTCCCACTGATCAGCCTCCTGCGCCGCCCAATCCATCATGGTCGCATCACCATCCTCATCATCATCATCTGCCCAGTTCAGCGACTTGGACTGCGCGCCCTTCTCCAAACCACCCTCCTTGTCTCTGACATGCCACTCGGCAATCAAGAACGCCGCGTCAAACCCCTGGAAGATCGTCTCCAGCATCTTCTCCACATCATAACTCTCCAGCGGCGCTGTCAGCTTCCGCCGCTCATCCTCCTCCGCCTCCGAATCAGCCGTCTTCCACCGGTTACGCAAGTCCTTTGCCCGCTGCAGTTGCTTGCGCACTTCCCCCTTGCCCAAGATGTCATGTAGTGGGTGAACAGGCGAATCGAACGCTTCCAGCACATGGGCGTGATACCGATGCTGGAACTTTCCCCCATTCCCAGAAGCCGCTTCCCCCGCCGCAACAGCACGATTAGGTGAACCCTCCTTAGGACTTCCCCCACGGCTACCCCCCTTACTCTCCCTTCCTCCTCCTCCTCCTCCTCCAGCCTGACAACCTTGCCCACTAAACCGACTCCCCGCCAACCCCTTTCCGCGAATCCCATCTCCACTAACTGTAATCCCAAACACCCCCAACAAATGCACCAGTGCGCGCTCGATAAGCATGTAGTACTCAAAGAAATCAAGCTTGAACATGATCTCCCCCTCGTTGAGCACGACGCCGCTGATGACGGCGTCGCCGTGCTTGGGATCGCGCCCCTTAAGCGCGAGGGCGTAGCCAGATGCTAGGAAGGGCAGCTTCCATTTGAGGCGGCGGACGATCTTGGTGTAGCGAATCAGTTCGTGTTTGGCGGAGGGGCTAACGCGGACGGGGGATTTGGGAGTGGTGGGTGATTTCGCGATGGGAGAGGTGTTGGTCCTGATGGGGATGGAGGTGGTCGTGGTGATGGGAGGTGGAGGATTGGGAGCGACGGTGACGGGTGGCTTTGGTTGAGCTTGAGCCTGCGTCTGTCGTTTAGGCGATGTCTTCCTTGGTGGAGAAGGAGGCTTAACGGGCGCTGATGCTGCTGCTGCCGCCGCCGCTGCTGGTGGTGATTGCTGCTGAGGCTCGGGGTCCGGCTTTGGGATGTATTTCATGAGTTGCTTCTTGCGTGGTGGCCGGTTCCTCTTGGACTTTGGGCCTGGACCATCGTGGAAGGAGTCGCCCTCGTCATGAGAATCTGAAGAGAGGTTAGCTACGGGTCATTAGGTCATGGTATAAGATGCAGTGGAAGGGCCACTGATGGGACGTCTCCGGCAACTGGTATGAGAGACCTGAAGCCTATAGACATCCCCCGTTAATGCGGTATATGGTCTCCATAGTACCACATATCTGTTCAGGTCATATTTGGCGACCCCTGAGGACATGCATGTCCGGGAGCTGGAATAGCTTCAACGACCGACATCATAGTGCCTTTCGCCGTCCATACGCGGAATAACCTTCTATAACCCCATCGGCAGTCCACCGATTGGTCTGTCACAGGTTTATTGTCCGTATCCTGAAGGCCATGCGTGCCGGGCCGTGACTCTTGGAGATGAGGCCAAGATGGGATAGGAGGATGTGGAGTGGGCTCGGATCAGGTGCTGGGTGACTCACGGTGAGATTGGGGTTGCGATGAGGAAGGCGGTGGTTGATGCGCCTTCGGGGCATGGATTGAGTTCATTAAGCCTCCTGCCATGGTGAAGTGCGGTTGCGTTTATATGTGGCGATATGATGGTCGTATGTTGTTGGCTGGTCGGGTGCGGTCAGGGGATTGAAAGCGAATGCGGCTGAACAATAGCAAGGATATACAATTTTTCAACAATGGAAATAAAGCGATGCCGACTGAGGAAGAGCTGTGATGCTAAAGATGGTGGTGTTGAGGTTCAGAGGATGATGACGGTTCCACAGCCGAGTTGGACACTTTGACAATGAGTTGTCTGATTTGCTTGCTCCGTCCAGCTCTCTGAGAGTGAGAGTGGTTTGGATGAAACTTGCATCATGGACCGCTGTTCCCTGCATAATTCAGTCGCCTAGTGCCATCAATTTGAGGTCTCCATCCGTCGCCAAACATGCCTCGGCCATTTCGGCTGGAAGGGGGAAAAGGATGCTAGATGCGTTGTACACAATATAAAGAACACTTGTCGCATCGCCAACATTGGTTCGAGACTACGAGTTGGTTCCAAAATCATTATCCGTGGAGGTTGCGTCACATTGCGGCCCGGCGCGACCAACGACATGTTCAAAATGTCATCACAGCATGGAGGGATGCCATCTGCAACACAGCGCTTGTCCTGGGCACATGCAAGTCCAAACAATCAAGATCTTCACCTTACACTACAAGTTCGCGACGACAAAGACACGAAGCAACAGATTTCTTCCTCACACCCCAAGCACTTGGCCTGAGATTGCAATGAAGAAAAGTTGAGCACAAGCAAGATGTAGTTCGCGTCACCTGGAGACAGTGTAATACCAGGGACACAGTGGCCGGTAATCATAGGCAAGCCTAGAGGAAAACCGACCGAGTTGCAAAAATTAGAATAATCACGATTGTACTCCGTAGAGCACTTTCAGAGATTAAACTGAAAAGAACAGATACTACACTTGATCTAAGCCAAAAGGCAAAGAGAGCTAAAGAAAAAAAGAAGAAAAAACCAGGTAAAAATTTAACGGGATGGACGAGGTTAAATAGGTGTTGGGAAGTGGCCTGTGCTGGGAAGGGCATGGTCTGTGCACGAGTGCAAGCTGCGAAATTCTAAGTGGGGTCCCTCATGTGCAGCTGCAGGACAGCCGTCAAGCCAGTCACTGCCCGCCAAACTGCCAATGTAGGCTGCAAGCGGCGGCGGTTGCTTGCTTGACAGGTTGCCGGCGGCAAGTCTCCACTCCAGCGTAGCTCGCTTCCGGCAGGCACCTTTTGACACGTGGAGCACCTTCGCCTGTTGCCATCTTGTCGTCAACCCTCGATATCTGGTGTTGTGCTTTCTCAATGGTCATTTTCTACACATATTTTCGGATTTACCAGTAACACATGAATATCGGATCAGTGATCATTTGTTCACGGGAACCATTTATATCATCAAATTTTGGCAAAATCATCGCACGAATGTTTCGCCTTATTCCGACCTCCCATCTTGTCACTTGCCATTTCCAACCACTGGATTCAGAAAACTGGGAATAGTGACAGCTGTACGAGAACTCGATTCCTACCTAAATCACTTACAAAGAATTGCCGCGGGAAATGTCGGACTCGACCACCTCCTGGGATTTCCGTACTCAGCCATCGCCAAGACCAATGATGACTACTCTCCAAGGAAGTGTTCTGTGATCACCAGTAATAGCAACGACGGGAGATGCGACATCTTCCTATGCAGAATACTGCTCGGAGGGAAATCTATCCGGCTGACAGTCACGAAGAGAACACCATTGGCGACGAACACAAGTCTCATTCCGTACATGTCCGTGAGAGTCAGCTGCCCCATGGCGATGACTTCACACATCCTTGATATCACGAAGTCACCTCCTATAAATGGTCTAATCGTATCATGTCTACTACCAGCAAGTCGTATAGGGAGCTTATTCAAACCCCAAGCATTTGACAACATATTATTATCATCATCATCATCGATCAATGTCTCTGACCTTTACACATCATTCACTGCAACGCACCGCCTTACCTCCAAATGGACCACTGCGACGTCCTCATAGTCGGAGCCGGCCCAGTAGGGACAACTCTAGCCCTCGAACTGGCTCTACAAGGCGTATCCTTTCGCATCATCGACAAAAGCCCAACCCGATCAGAACACAGCAGAGCCTTGATCGTCCACCCTCGTACTCTGGAACTGCTAGACCGCCATGGACCCGTCGTCGACAAGCTCATGTCCAAAGGCACCATTGCCCGTGGCGCCGTGATGAACATCAACCGAAAGCTAGTAGCCAGAGTAGATATGGACGATCTTGACATCACCGATACCAACTTCCCCTTGCCTTTGATGGTTTCCCAAGCCGAGACGGAGAAGTTCATGGAAGAGGCCCTGGCCGAGTATGGCAAAGCCGTTGAACGGGGTTATACCGCCACGAATATCGTTCAAAATGACAAGGGGGTTACCACAACTCTTAAGACACCAAATGGTAGTCATACAACGATCCGATCCAAGTATGTCGTCGGCTGTGATGGCGCCCATAGCGTGGTTCGACATTCTGCTTCGGACGTTACCTTCGACGGAGACACCTACCCACAAGATTTCATCCTCTGCGATGCCCGCCTCCGCAACTCCAACGTCGCGAGAGACCGCTTCACCATCTGCTTCGGCGACACCGGCTTACTAGCCTTCTTCCCCATCTCACCCCACAGCAATGACAACAACGAAGACGGTCTCATCCGCCTTATCGCATCAGGTGGCCGCTCAGTCACCAAGCAACCACCATCTCAGCCCACTGCTCCCGGCTCTCCTGGATCCCAGCCGCAGCATCAACACGGCGAACAACCCGACGAACCCCCCACCCTCTCCCACTTCCAACACCTCCTAGATTCCTTCGCCCCTCCCGGCTCCGGAACCGTGCACTCTCCCATCTGGCTAGCCCGCTTCCGCCTCCACCACCGGGGCGTCAACAGCTACCGCTCTAGCCGACTTTTTCTCGCCGGCGACGCCGCGCACATCCACAGTCCGGCCGGTGGACAGGGGATGAACGTTGGAATCCAAGATGCCATCAACTTGGGATGGAAACTAGCCTCTGTCCTTAAACACCACAACAAGCTCACCGAGGAAGCGAGGGAGGCCTTGCTGGATAGCTATCATGCTGAACGCTACCCCGTGGGCAGGGCGCTGCTGCAGGGAACGGATAGGATGTTTAGCTTCACGGCGGCGGCGAGTCCGTGGATTTTGAAGGTGAGGAATGCGGTGTTGCCGTGGGTTTTGCCGTGGCTGGTTGCGGTGAAGTGGGTTAGGAGGAGGTTTTATGGGTTTATTTCGGGGTTTGGAACGAGTTATCGTTATTCGGGGAAGGGGAATGGTGGTGGTGCGGGGGAGAGCTGTGTGGTTGGGATGAACATCATGTCTTCGGAATCGTCATCGATGAAGATAAGAGGTGGTGATAGGTTGCCGGATGGGAAGGTGATTGAGCTAACCCCAGGACGGGCAGAGGTAGGACGAACAGATGGGCGATATGCCCCTGGTGATGAAGGGAGAAGAGTTCCGGACCTGCCCCTGTTGGAGGAGAGAACAGAAACGAGCCTGCATCGAATCTGTCGAGGTGCATCTTGGCACTTGTTGCTGTTCTCCGGGACAGGAACTGGTGATAGCAATGCGGTGACGGTTGAGGGGTTAACACTGGCGGGCGAAAGAGTATTGGCGGTCGTCAAAAGGGAGTGCTCACTTCATTTCTTCTACCACGTTGCAGAGGATCAGGATCGTGGTGATAGCGCGGGGCAGGGGCGATTGCGTCCGCTGGGCGATGGTGAGCTGCAGGTGGTTACAGGGGACAGCGGCGTTGCTTCATATGCGGACCCGGGTGGTCGGGTCCATGGTCTCCTTGGATTGGACAATGGTCATGGCGGGTTTGTGATGGTGAGACCTGACGGTTATGTTTCTCACATTGGATATCTGTCGTCACTGCACGACTTTGTGAAGGAGTGGGAGTCACAAGTTCGTATTTGAAAAACAGGTGATCGTGGGGGTTTTCATATTTGTTACTGACTCGCATTTATCCTTTTCCTTTCCTTCTTTATCCTTTTGTTTGTTTTCTTCGCCGCTTTCCCGTGAGGAGTCATTCTCTCCGACTCTCCCATCATCCTCTCCGCTCAACTTACCTCTATCGCTACATAACTTTCTATACCGCCGGGAATGGGAGAAAAGGGGTTTTGGCACCAAGTTTAGTGTTTGGGACCATCCCCCTGAGTGCCCTACCGACGCCTATCTTTCTCCACCAGTCCCTTGACGTGTTTAAACCAGAGAAGCCCGAAACCCAAATTTGGGCCAACATTTTGATCATGAACTTTTGAAGATTGAATTGGGGGTAAAGAAAAGTCTCGCAAGTGTGACCAGGAGAAGCGAAGAGTCCCCATCTGTTTCCCAGCATCCGTGCCCACCTGCAATCCTTCGGACACCCTACATGCAGCAACGAAAAAAAAGATATGGACATCACAGGACGGACAGGAAAACTGCATCACATCTGATGAATATGATTCACCCGGAATCCAACACAGCATCCATAATAATATTATCCAAACTGGCGCCTACATAGGTCCACACCACGTGGATAACGGTGAGTGGAAATCCATTGACACCGCACAAACAAGGAGTCTCCTAGCTTGTCCCCCTAGACCGCCGTGGGGCCAGTTCCCGCAGCTTGAGGTGCTGACACTTGACAGGAGCCCCTATACAGTAGCGAACAGCAGCGAATAGGGGCGCTCTTTCTGACCAATTGGTTCACCGGAGAAGATCGGGGAAATTCTGTTAACACAGAACCCACCGTTACGGGACCCCGACCCGGAACGACAACGGCCGGGCCGTGTATGTGTTTTGAAAGTGCGGAATTACGGGCACCTAGCTTTTTGATGGAGATCTCGATGGCGGGGGTTCATCATGCCCATGGCCTTTTTGTGCTAGAAATACGGGAATTATAAAAAGCCACATCCCCGTTTCTTCGTGTGTCTCAACTTTGTAACATCTCTTTTCCCTTCCCTTCTCTTCTCATTCATCAACAACAATCACAACTCAAACTCAAATCTCAACCCTTCCCTCCAAAACAAAAATCATCAAAATGGCCTCCACCACCACCACTCCCAAGGTCTGGCTCATTACCGGTGCCTCCTCCGGCCTCGGCCGTGAGATCGCCCGTCGCGCCCTCGGCCAAGGCGACATCGTCTTCGCCACCGCCCGCAACCCCGCCCGCATCCCCGAGGTCCTCACCTCTTACACCGAGACCTGCGTGGCCGAGACCTTCGACGTGACCTCTCCCGACGCCGTCCTCGCCGAAACCGTCTCCCGCATCGTCTCGCACCCCAAGAACGTCACGGGCCGCATCGACATCGTCGTCAATGCCGCGGGCTACGTGCTCGCCGGCGGCTGCGAGGAAGTTTCCGGCGAGGAGGCGCTCGCGCAGTTCAACACCAACGTTTTGGGCCAGCTGTCCGTCGGTCGCGCCGTTTTGCCCGTTCTCCGCGCGCAAAAGGCCGGTATCCTCGCCAACTTTGGTTCTATCCTTTCTTACCTCGGTCCCGCGGGCGCCGGTCTCTATAGCGCCACCAAGGCGGCGTGCTCGATTCTTTCCGAGGCCTTGACGGGTGAGGTCAAGCACCTTGGTGTGCAGGTTACCTGCATTGAGCCCGGCTACTTTAGGACTTCCGTCCTCGACCAGGGCCACATGTTGCACCCGGCCAAGAAGATCGACGAGCTCAGGGGCGAGAACGGCAGCCAGGAGATGGCCACGACGCTGGCCATGTGGGAGGCCGCTAACAACAAGCAGCCTGGCGACCCAGCCAAGCTCGCGGATGTGGTTGTTGATGCGCTTAGCGGCAATGGCGTGTATGCTGGCCGTACGTTGCCTGCGAGGTTGCTCATTGGCAAGGACGCGTATGGCATCTGGGCGGCGGTACAGGAGAAGCAGAGGAAGCAGATGGAGGAGTGGAGGGCTGAGTGCACGGGTACAGATTTCACTGAGTAAGGGAAACCAGGAAGGGAAACGATGGGGGTTTTTTAAGCGGGAGGACTGGATCAGACCGGAGGATCAAAGGAAATCATACCATGCATATGTTGGATTAGGGTAATGATTGTAATGAATTATTAATACATCTACCTTACTTTTTTTTTTTTTTTTTTAAACGGGGGCTTTAGGGGGCGCCTGGCGGTGATGATTATTATAGATAAAAGGGGCGTCAGATGGGTGCTTTTCGGTGCTGGCAGCTAATGTAACTTTTAGGGCCAGAAGGGCTTAAGGCAAGTGGAAGGGAAGGATTGAAGACGATGAAGGCGCAACTCGAGAGAAATGAATACCACGCATGCTCACATCCGAAACCGGGTGGGGTACCCAACGTTCACAGCAACCACATTACTCTCGAACGATGAAGCACAATACTGGTAGCCAAGAAGTAGTATAAACATTATTCAAAAAGGCGTAAACGATGAAGAAAACAAATGCCAACCAAAACAACATATACACAAAAAACGCCGTGATCTTCCAAATCACCCCATATATACCTTCCATAAGCCTATAATTCATTCCATGATCCCTCTTGTGACTTCTCCATTTCACCTAGCAACCACCCAATCTACGAAACCGAGAGGCTACAGGTCAAGGGGGCCACATCCAACGAAACCCAGCCGTCTAGATCATCAGCTCGCTATCTCCAAACACAGCATCGCGACCCTGAAGCCTCGACGCCGCTCTCCTCCGGGCAGGAGAAGAAATCGAGCCATCGCGGGCAGGTGTGGTGGTATTTCCGGCAGGAGGGATCCATGTGGCGCTGCAAGTAAGATAGTTAGCCATCAATCACTCTTATCAACCCTCAATGGGGCAAAAACCAGAAAGAGCAAAGCATACCCAGTATAAACCGTCGGCGAAATGGTCAACATCCCCGTCGTATCCAACGGATTGACCGTATTCCCCACAGCATTTCCCCTCGTCGGCACCCCTCCAATCCTACAATTCTCCAAGTGATCCGCAGGGAACTGATGACCCCTAAGCTCCTCAGGGCCCTCAATGAAGGTCGCCGTCAGCCCCATTTCCACATGCCACTCGACATGGCAATGGAACAGCCACACGCCGGGGTTCGTCGCCCTGAACCTCAGCACGGCGTGACTCCACGACCATACGGTGACGGTATCACGCCTGTTGGGGGTAGAAATGTAGTTCACGTCGCGACCGGGCCAGTCACCCGCGTACGGCCGGGCACGGTCAAGGATTTGAAACCGGTGCCCGTGTAAGTGGAAAGGATGGGTGCCGGCGTCTTGGTTGTTAATCACCAGCTGGACGATGTCGCCTTTTTTCACCACGACGGGGTTAATTTGGCCGTAGACGACGGGGTTGGTGTTGTTTCTCCCACTGTTGCCGCCGTATAAAGGGAGGGAACCTTTTGGCCAATGAAGGGCTTGCCGTTGAAGCAGGCGCGCGGGTAGCCGTTGGCGTCACGGCAGAAGCGGAAGTCGAACTGCACGAGGTGGTCGTAGGACGGGATCATGGCGAGGTTGTCGAGCGGCTTGAAGTGTGTGTCGTCGGCGGGACGCCACACGTCGATGTTGTTGGTTAGACGGGTGAACGGAGCATTTTCGTCCATCACTAGCCAGGCGGTTTGGTTGTGGGGGAAGTTGGGGGCCAGGGTTGCGTTACGAAAGTCCCGGTTGATGTCGAGAGCAAGCAGAATTGGGTAGTTGCCGGAGTCACGGTCGATGGCGGAGATGAGGAAGTCGTACCGCTGGGCGGAGCTGGCGTGTAGATGGTAGGCGGTTTCGGTTTGGATGTATGTGGCATCGCTCATAATCATGGTGAGCGGGTGGGAGTCGATCCAGAGGAAGGCCGAGGCAAAGGCGGACATGTTGATGAGACGGACGCGGTAGGTTTTGCCTTTGACGAAGTTGAACTTGACATCCTTCTTGTCGTTAACCAAGATGGTATCCGGCAATGGTGGAGCAAACCGCGTGTTGGAAGGATTGAGCATGCTCTGCACAAGCGGGATGCTTTGTTGATGGTACCTATGCCGTTGTTAGATGGTTTCTAACCTAGATTTAAGAGGAAGACTTACCAATCGGATACAGTCAAGACAATCTCCTCGTCGTACTTGCCCTTGTAGGGGTCATTGGGATCTTGGACAATAAGGGGGCCGCGCAGGCCATCCGGGTATTGTCCCTTTTCGTGGGAGTGATACCAGAAGGTGCCGGGCTCATCGAGCTAGAATCATGTAAGCCTCGGTTCGATCCGGAATCTAGAAGAGACATATGTCTTACCAAGAACTTGTACTGAACCGTGGATCCGGGAGGGGTGGGACACTGGACGACACCACTAGGTCCATCCATCTCAGGGGTTTGCAACTGGTTGATACCGTGCCAGTGAAGACCAGTTGTTTGGTTGCCAAGACCATTGTGGAGATTCACAATGAGGGTATCGCCAACAGTCGCTTCGAGCTTGGGGCATGGCCACTGGTTGTCGATACCAATGACAGGTCTACCAAAACCATCGGGAGAAGCCCAAACCCATGTGACGTTCCAGTTGACGGTGATAACTGCTGCCCTGGCAACTGTGCCAAAGCACAACAATGCCAGGGAAAAGAAGGGTGACCAAATCATGGTCCGGGTTGGAAATCAGAGTCAAGCCAAAAAAGTGGCAGTGAAAGGAGGAGGGTATTGGAAAGTGACAAGCAAAGGTGAACCTAGAGCTCGACGAAGAGGGTGAGGATGAAAGGGACTGGACAAATACATGATTCAGGAACGAGAGAAACCTCCGTATATAAGTAACAGCGACGAGTGGTAGAGGCCTTGCTGGAACCGACAACGACAAGATAGTCGAGTTGTGTTTCGTTGGCATGGTGGCTCATGATGGATTCGACCACAGGGGTATGGTACGAAGGATAATCGGAAGTTTCCTAATCAGGAGGGTTGCCCACATGATAGCTGCACTTGCAGTCCATACTGTCCCAAGGAGGGTGTGCAGGATGCGGCTCTAGATCCGAAGAGCCAAAGCCAAGCTGTCAGCTCAGTGATTGTGAGCGGCTCCAGGCTGAGAGGCATCAGAATATTGAATGGCTGCAGGACGGGTCTCCGTACCTGGCACGATCACCTATCATTGATTGGGTGTTGAATCTGAAGCTTGTAGGAAGAGGCGTGACTACGCGAAAGATCAGAAGATGTGCAGGAGTGAGGACTACAGTATAGTCGCAAATTTGATGCTCCCACATCCCGGCTCACACTTGATATCCTGTTTGTGGAAGAGATCAACCCATATAGGACAACTTCGCTCGTGGAAACAGTACCCAAAAATGGTTCTGGAACTGGGGAGAACCATGTAAAATCTGTAGTCTGTTCCAGTTCGGGGTGAAGAGGTTGAAGACTGGCGGTAAACAGACAGCTTAGCACTTCTTTGTCTGCTTCGTTTGAACTGCTCGCCTTGACAATTTCGAGCACCCGGGTAGCGGCGGAAACTCCATGCCAGCTTTAGGGGCGGGCGCTTGGACAGCTCACATACGAAAGAAGACAGAAAGGCGAAGTTGTACAAGCTTCGGAGGCGTATGGCATGTGGTGTGTAAGACCTGGTTTAGGGTGACACCAATAGGTCGCTCGGATACATACAGAGGGGAACTGTATAGTCAAAGAGGAAGATACAAAACTACACGTGAGGTCTATAAACGTATCAGCCATCTGTCAGGGTGTCTGGTATATGGAAAGAATGGTGGTGGCTGCAGGGCTCATCAGATGAGGGGAAAGGAGGATGAGAAGCAAACCAAACTGGGGCGAGCTTGTCATCGATAGTACATATTTCTGTAAGAATCATTGACTGATGTCCAGTTAAGCTTAGTATCATGTGCTTGCCAGGTTCAAGGCGATCCTCGAGCTTTACGGGAAGGTCGTTTGCACAAACATGCCGGTGGGAAATGCTTCGACCTGAGGGGGGGGCTGCTGTTCTTTTTCGACGACGTGAATCCGAGGGTTATTGCCTGAAAAGAGCCGTGAACAGTCACTCCAAGCAGGGGTCTGTATATTGGGAATAGGTGGTCTGTAGAACCGTTGCCACGTTGCAGTGTTGTCGATGCAGAAGGACATGAGAATGTGGAAGAGAGAGAAAAGAGGAAAAGATGAGGTGAGGTTGAGTTGGAGGCTCGGGAAGAGTTTCATTGGGCGTTGCTTGGCGCGATACCATGTCTGTTAATGTCACCCTGCTGGGAGACCCCTGTGGATCGCCGTAGCTGCATGAGTGGTATCGCTTATCGGACCCTATAATAAGCCAAATAATCGCACTGTGGGCACGACAAAGACAGCGCTCTTCAACTGGAATGCGGAAGCGGGAGATGCCCGGTCCTGCCAAGTTTCCGCCAATTCGTGAGGCTCGTGAATCTCGTGATTTTTCACCCAAACATAAACATCTCTCAACGAGAAGACACGAAATAATAACCAACGAAGCCGCTTCAAGCAGTCATACAGTGCTCCCAACGCATCGACCCTGTCAAGAATTCAGGAACACGTTGCTCTACGTGCGCTTCAGAGACTCGGGCCCGTCGGGGATTTTCACCTTCACCTTCGACTTCGACTTCGACAATACCGGACTTTGTGATCCGCGGGTTCCAACGTCAAGCTCGACTGCCTATAACCCCCCAAATTCGATCAGGAGGCGATCAATAATCTACCCAGGCAAGGCAGAAACAGAGACCATGGGAAAGCTTGTTCCCTTCGCCGGCAGGGAATGGGATATTGGGAGGCGTTCGCCATGGATATTGAGGAGCGAAATCAGTGGACAGAATAACCAAGTGTCTCGGGCACCGGCATTCAGACCGGCATCTCGCTCAACTAGAGACGGGGTTCTTTGGCCACCGACCCTCCAATGTGGCTGACTTGGGGAGTGTTTTGTTGGCTTGACTTCTGAGACTCCGTCGCTTCCAGCGGCTCGGAAACCGAAGAGGACAGTTGCCTTGAGGATTCCAAAGAGGGGGTTCAGCCACAGGAGCGGCGCGCGCGAGACATCTCACGATGCCGGACTCGGATACGAAAGATAAATCACCACGGAGAGATTCCTGATCCAGGGCGGGTGTGTAACCGTTCAGCAAAGGCGAGCGACTACCCGGAGAACATTTGCTTCCCGTTCGTTTTTCGGACTTGGCTGTTCTTCATGGCTCAGCCTTTAGGGCTTGGTATCAGTCAGCCGTATCTCATTATGAAAATATCTGGATTGGTCAATTTGGATGACATGGAAAGATTTGCCCTGAATCACTCCATGATGTTTTGCTCTGGTGGTACGGGTTGTTGGGTCTGGGCATTGGGCCCAGAGACTTGGTTCTTTCCTTGTCTCACTCAAAATCTCCGAGGAATAAACTTTCCCGAGATCTTAACTCTAACCTTACTACAGCAGCAGGCCCTAGCGGGGACATAGCGAAACACCGTCAAGTGATGGTAAACTTCTCAGGTTTGCAAAGGGTTAACAAAAATCCAATTCATTTCATTAGCCACTCGGTTTGCTGTTGCAGAATTCCTACCCGATGCTGATACTTTACATGGAATGTGGCTACAATCTTGATTATCAAGCCGATGGCTAACTAGACACAGAATATTTACCGGATCTCGGGTCTCCCCTACACATCGTTGAATGATAGGCTCGTATCGTGCTGTCCGGTCCATCAAAGGGGTCAATCTCCGAATGAACAAACCAGCACGTCCAGTATCTCAATTAGAGTCTCCGCAGCTTTGTGCTAAAAGCACCTGTATGGATCGAGACTTACACAACTCGCTTCTCCTGACAGGATAAACACCAAGGGACTTGACTCGAGCGAGCAGTCGTGGTGTCTCGGAAACCCTCATGCATACCCGTCCAGCAGTTGAGACTCGCATCAACGGGCCTCTGATGCAGAAGGCTATCCCTTTAAGAGGAGTCGGGACCCGAGGAGATCATTACCGCGCGAGCGCCTCTCATGCATACCCCGTAAACGATGGAAATCAGCCTTAACGCCAACGTTAATGCATCTTGAGGTTGCGCGAAATCCTCCAGTACCTTACATTAGGTCCCGAGAGGTCGTGCCACTCGACTATCTAAGGTAGGCCAAGAACTGACTATTACCTACCTTACTACCGGTGATGCATTCAGCTGCTGTAGCTCAGCCTAGCTGTGCCCGATACTGACAGAAAGCGCCGTTTGATATGTTACACTACGTCTATGTACCATACTTATCGTCTACCTGCGGATACTGAACCTTTCTACAGCTCAACGAGGCGCAGATGAAGGACTGAGGATGGAGGAGATTAAAGGGAAGTGGGGGCAGCAGCGTGCAACTTCTCAACCCGAGCTGGCTGACTGTGGCATTCCATTGCCTCGCATGGAGCTCACTAGACATCCAAGACCTTTGAGCTACTGACGATGACAGTAAGTCTGGCGTTGAAAGAGCCCTAACCGATACTGCCTCGTGTTCCCTCTTTGACAGCCGAAGCAGCTGATAACACATCTCCCTTTTGAGCCACAATAACCGTCAAACGCAGGTACCCATTTTCTTTGCATATCCTGATTCCGAACATCGGGAACTAGAAAGGACCTATCTTCCCAGGAATGGAAAGTATACCACCACATTTGATGTATGAATATGCAGAGTGTCAAATTTCAGGCGCATGCTCAAAATCGCGAGAAATATTCAGCCACGGAACGTTTCACATTTCCCAGCAGATACGCTAGGATCCAGATATGGAGACGACACTTCAACGTTGACGAGTATGGAAAATCCAGTCCAAATACAGCACCAATCTCTTACTGTCCACAGTCAGTCCCAAAAGAGATCCCACCAACGCGTAGCTCGGCAGCAAGCTGAAAATAGTCTGATGCTGTACCATATCACACTGCCTCTTCTTCCTGCTGCCTCTGCCTTGCCTTATCACCGGGCTTAGACGTACATATCTCACAACAAAAGGCAAAAGGGGGAGCAAAAGCATGATATCGCCAAGCTACAATTCGATATCGTCAGCGGCCACCGGGAAGTGTCGACACCATAATATTTAACTGCTGCGGAAGAAGGTTGCTTTCTTACGGGAGTGTAGCGGTTTGAGAAGCAGATTGGCGGGATCCACGTACTTCAAGGTGAAGAATCAAAACGAAAGCATTTTCGCAAAACTGGGGAGTTGTAAGCCCAAATGGGAACAGAGCCAGCACATGGACAATACACCCAAGACTACGACCCCTAGACCCCTACCTTTTGCCCTGATTTTATAAGGGCAGTGTTCCTAAGGAACAAGCACATACGACCATACCCACTGGAAAACTCGGGATCCCGTCCGCTCTCCCATAGATAAGCCAGTGAGGGCCAGACTAGTAGTTGGGTCGGTGACGACCAGCGAATCCCTGGTGTTGTATGTTTTTTTTCGCTTCTTTTTTGTCTTGAGTTCTTTCTTGGACTTTGCACTTGAAATATTCTTGCCGTGATCATATCTGTCTTCATCTTTCTTGTTCTTCATTTTCGCCCGTTTTTTTTTACCTTCCACATCAGGCCGGGCGTGGAACCTCCACCTACTCAAGACATGTCAATCAACTTTGAATCTCTTTGCCGCTCACATCCCTTCTGCCCTTCACAATTGCCAAAATGAAGATGTTAGGTCTTTCCGGTTGATTATTTGATAGTAACGGCCTTGTGCATTCCTCATCAATTTGGACCAGGGCTCAAGACATACGTCTTCCCATTTTGGGACCAACAGTGTGAAGAATAGTGACACAATGCAATGGCCGCTCGCTCATCGTACACCCACCCTCATGACCTCGCCGTCCTTATCATTCACAATCCTCGTAGTTACTGTGAGAGCACACTTCAAGCCTTTTGCTTCTCCTTCGCCTCCTCCTCCCTCAATCTCGCAACCAACTTCTCCATCAAAAACGGGCCAAGTCCCAAGCTGTAAACATTCCCCAAAAGTTAGCAACACATCAGTCAATATACCGCCTCCTCACATCACCTCCAGATCATGGAAATACTCACATCCCCTGATTAGTAACAACCCTATAAGTCCCACTCCCCTGAAACGTGCCCTCCAGAACCTTTCCCCGGCCATCAACCTCCACACTCCCAAAGATATCCTCCGGCCAGGCAATCCTTCCAAAATCCACCGGCGTCCGCTCATCGCTCAGATGCACCCATCCTCCTCTCCCTGCCCCTCCGGCTCCTCCCTCCGCTGAGGCACCGCCGGCGCCAGTGTCGTTGCCCTTTTTGCCTGTCCTTCTTCCGGCACCGCCTGCTTTGGCACCCGCTGATCCGGGAAGAAACGAAAAACCGGCTGGGGAAGCGAAGGCTTGGGCTTGGGATTGCAGACCGGGGTCGGAGTAGGCGTGTTCCGAGAGGACGGAGTTTAGGATCGAAAGGAAGTGCGGGTTTGTGGTGAAGGATTGCGGGGTTGGAGGGAGGGTGGTGGTGGTGCCGATTGAGAGGGTTGGTGAGGGGGGTGATGTGGGGAGGAGGGTTAGGAGGTGGCCTGTTTTGTTGGGGAGGGGGAAGACTTTCTGTGGTGGTGTGTTAGTAGGGAGTGTGATTTGTGAGATTTGGTGATGTCGGAAGGGACAGATGAGGATGAGCATGGAGTGATGATGGTGATAGTGGTGTAAGTGAGGGGTGGGGTTGTTGGTGGAGGTGGATGGCTTACGATGTTGGGGTTCGACGCCAAAGTTGTAAACGATCGGAATGCTTCTGGTAACTTAAAAGCCAAACGGAATCTTGTAGCTAGCAACATGTTGATTGACTTCTTCCTGAAATCGAGGATGAGTTGGTTAGTGATGGCGTCAAAAGTTAGTTGATGTCACTCTGGTGGTGTTAGTGCGTCTAGGTACCTGCTCTAAGTACCTCTTTAGTGCTGCCGGCGGCAACTAGGGTGGCCCTTGATGGCCTTCTTCCTGACATTGTGGAGATTGTATTGGCTGAAATCTGGGGAGAGCCCCACCAGAACGCGTCTGGTCCCCTGCTTCGTTTCTCAATTTACGCGTCTTCCAGAACAGTGACATATGACGGCAATATCACCATCATATGTACATTGACACATGTTCAATTGTACCTGTCTCTTGTCTTATTGAAGTCTCGTTGAAGCACACAAATCAGAGTTAACATGATCGTCCAAAGTCCCCGCCCAAAACGGTCGAAATCCGGCCAGACGAATGCCGAAGAGAGAACACCTCGACCACAACCACAACCAGCCGCCGGCTTCTTTGCGCCCAAGAACCCAGCAGCAGGCCCATACAACCCGATACCTTCCTCTTCGCCCGCCTTCGCTACTCCAGTGCACCCTCTGAAGCCGTTCCAACCTCCAGTTCTCACAAAAGCCGCAATCCTCCCCATCATTCTTCCTCCAGCGACACTACGACCACTCGCCTTCCGAACGTTTACCAAGAAGCACAGCCTGACACTTACCTCGACGGCCCTACAAGAACTCGCAACCTTTATCGGTAGACACTGTGGTTCAGGATGGAGAGAAGAAGGCCTAGCCGAAAAGGTGCTAGAGGAGGTGGCAAGGAGTTGGAAGAACCGCAACGGCGGCGTCATTGTCGAAGGAAACAGCCCCGAGCTGAAGGACATTCTCAAGAACCTCGAGGGTAACATGAGCGGAGGAAAGATTCTGACCGGGCCACGAAGCTTGAGCAGACAAAACAGTCTTTTGCTGGAGCCCGAGCAAGACGAACAACATGCGCATACTCGATTGGGACTCAGACCTGTGCAGTCATTAACCCGAGATGATAGCAACGCCAGCTTTGGCATGTCTGGGTTAGAGTTCGCAGAAGAGCCGGAAGACGACTCGGTGAGGGATGTTAGGAGGTGGCTCAAGGTTATACATGCGTTTGACCAACCACGGTTGACATATAATGTTGGAAAGAAACACTTTGAGAGGTATGTCCCGGTTATTACCACCTGCACATAGAAATTACAGCTAACCTTTGTAGGGACCCTTCTAAACCCTCGTTATTACCAGCCGCCTCCCACAAAACCGATGCCTTCCGCAACCGCTACAACGTCATCCATCAGCGTATCCTCCGCAACGAAGCCTTCCAATCCTCCTCCGTCCAAGGCTCCAGCCTGCGTCAAAAAACCAACGCCAACGGCCTCTCCTCCCACAAGATCACCCCGATCGCCAACCTGCTCGGTCGCCATGGCACCCACCACATGCTGCTGGGCATGCTCGTTGTTCTTCCTACTGGCTCCCTCGCCATCAGCGACCTGACGGGTACCATCGTTCTCGACCTCTCCCACGCTGTCGCCATCCCCGAAGATTCTGCCTGGTTCACACCGGGAATGATGGTACTCATCGACGGCGTCTATGAAGAAGAGGAGGAAACCATGACCATGGGCAATGGTCTCAGTGGAAGCAGCGGTGTAGGTGGTACCATCGGCGGTCGATTCCAGGGTTTCTTCATCGGCCAGCCGCCATGCGAAAAGCGCCGTGTTACCCTCGGGGTTAGTGGACCCGACGGCAGCGGCGCTGATCACACCATTGGCGGCGGGTTCGGCTGGATCGACTTCCTGGGGGTAGGCAGCGAGAGGGCAGTCGGGTCCAAGATGCGCAAGCTGGAGCACAGAATCCTTCGGCAGTCGGCTCTGTTGGAGGATGGCAGGCCGTCGAGAGGTAGGGCGGTGATCATTGGCGAACTGAACCTAGATCAACCGAGGAGTTTGCAGGCGCTGAGGAAGATCTTGGGTCTCTATGCTAGTGATCCCGAAGGGTGTACACCCATGACGTTCGTGCTAGCGGGTAACTTCACACAGCATGCTGTTATGGCGAGGGGCGGTAGTGGTGGGAGCATCGAATACAAGGAGTTTTTCGACGCGTTGGCGTCGACACTAGCAGATTTCCCCAGTCTGCTAACGACGGCCACCTTTGTCTTCGTGCCGGGCGACAACGACGGGTGGGTGTCTGCCTTCTCCGGCGGTGCGGCAACTCCCCTACCCAGGAAACCCGTGCCAGATCTCTTCACTTCCCGTATCAGGAGGGTATTCGCAGCAGCGAATGCCGAAGCCGGGCTTGCCAACCCAGGCAAAGAGACAGAAAAGGACGCTGGCAAGAGAAAAGGTGGCGAAGCCGTCTGGACAACCAACCCAAGCAGGATAACCCTCTTCGGACCCAGTCACGAAATGGTTTTGTTCAGAGATGACATCTCGGCCCGGCTACGACGAGCTTCCGTCCGTCTTAAGAACACGAACAAAGCTGCTGCCACTGTCGAGCCGGAACCATCAACTAACAACGACAACGACGACTCGGCGATGGATAACCAATGCCCACCCTCCTCCCTCCCCGACGCTCCGGACGCCGACGACGAAGACATGGCAGACACGACCATGACCGACGCTATGGACGTTGATCCGGCCCCGGCCCCTAACCAGAAGGCTACCACTATGCTCCCACCCCCATCCATACCATACGACGTTCTTGCCGCCCGCAAGCTAGTGAAGACGATTCTCGATCAAGGATACCTCGCTCCCTTCCGGCAAGCCATCCGCCCGGTACATTGGGATTATACCTCCGCTATGTACCTCTACCCGCTGCCGACGGCCATGGTGTTAGTGGATACCACGGCGCCGCCGTTTTGCGTGACGTATGAGGGGTGTCATGTTATGAACCCGGGAAGCATATTGGTGCCGGGGAGGAAGGGCGCGGCGAGGTGGGTTGAGTATGAACTGCCGGGAGTGGGAGGAACAGGGACAGGTGGAGGGAGGGTGAGGGAGTGTACGTTCTAGGCTTCGCATTTGATTGTCTGGAGGAAAATCTGGCCTGGACCCTGGGCTTGTCACGGGGCTGTGCTGGGAAGTTTGGGTATTAGGTCGGGGCTTGGGATTGGTACTATCGGCTCGGTAAAGGCGATCAAAGGATTGGTAGTTTGCATTGCTCAATGAATAGACACTGTGGTGGCAGAACAGAATCGAAACCCAAACACGGTTGGCATATCTGGCATTATCAAGTTCTTTCTTCCTATTTTCTTCATCTCTCCTTCTTGTGTTGGACGGCAAGTTGCCGGGTGATCATCATCAGCTAGCATCCTCATCTACATCGTATTCTTCGATGTCCTCCCAATCTTGTAGCTCCAGGTTCGAAGGAGCTTCTTCCACGACGTCCCAATAATCGTATCCATCTTCGTCTACATCGGCCACATCATCTTCTCCTTCCCCCAAATCCAACTCGCATTCCTCTTCAAACCTCGTCTTCTGAATCTCAAACGTCCTAATGATTGCCAAAAGTGCAACCTCTTGCTTGTACTTATTTTCATCGTCGTTGGCACTGCCTAGCTCCTCTTTCAGCCCCAAGGCCTCTACCATTGCCCGATGCAGGTATTGACTCTCTGCAGTCCACGCCTTCTTCCCAACCAGTAGCCTAAGTGAGTCGATATCTTCAATCCGCGACCGGTTGTCCCTGTCGATATGGTTCCGCCCTGCCATCTTCAGGATGGAAAGTACAAAGAAAAAGTACATGTAGTCCACGCTTGGGCGGACAGTGGACTCTGGGCGAAAATGGAGTGCCTTCCCGTCCAATTCCTGAATGGTCATTCCAGGATTGTCGTCTGTAGGGGTGGGCACGAAAGGCATATCCAGAAAGTCCTCGGCCTCCGGATCAATGACCTTCCACTTATATCCTCGTATGTGACCGCATGCGGCTGCCCATCCCGCCAACGCCCCTTCGTCGGCTGACGCACCATCCTCGATGTCAGGGACGATCGCTATGGCCCCATAGATGAGGGCACGCTCTGCTTCGTGTAGTAGGATGAGGCAGTTGCGTGCAGAGAGTAGGTCTGACCGGGCCTCCTGTCCAAAAAGAGCGGCCATCATTTCAGGGCCAAACTGAAGGGGGTACGAGGTATGTTGCAACCATGGAGAACGCCACTTGATAGCTGCCGGTTGCACAATCGAAGACGAGATCGATTATTTCCGGCAGGCCTGGCCTGCTAATCCCCGCGTCATATGCCTTGAGGAGAGACCTTCTGAATTGGGAGTGTTCGACTTGGGTGACTCTGCCCATTCCGAGATGACACGCGCTTAACTAGGCAAGTGATGTTGAGACAGCTTCTCCGCGTGTGATCTTGTTGACTTGTCTCTGGTAAAGACGCTTCTCGAGCATAGTGGCGTTTGCCTTCTCAACCAATAGGGAAGCATCCCTTACTTCCTCCATCACATCGGCATCCTCGGCCTGGTTCGTCTCGGCCAGATATCGAAAGTACTTGGTCTCGGCCTCTGCTGCCTTGATCTTGCTGTTTGCAAATTCGACCGCTGTCCCCCATGCCCTGCGATTGTGGATGCTCATTTGATGCATCTTGCGCCTTGCTTCGCTTACTCGCATTAATGCCAACTCGGAGTCGGTAAGCAAATGCTTGGAGGTATGTAGGGCAGACTGATCGCAGGGAAGGCGTGTAGTGTTTCCGGAGTGCACCGAAGTCGACATCGCTACGGTATTGTCGACTGAGCCGCAAAAGTAGTTGATATAATGCGGGTAGCGATGTGGTAGGATTTGTGGTCCAATGCCGAAAACATTTGTTAGCTTGATTGCTGGGTACTGAAAGGTGCCAGGTTAGTAAGACACTTACTTCTCCCAATGCTCCCAGGGACTTCAAATGATGTTGCGGATGAAGAGTAGAGGTAGCTTCGAAAGTTCCTGACTGGATGGTTGGAGTGCTCTCACTCGTTATGCAGTTTTGGTTCTTGCGAATACTTTCTGAGCGGTTGTATCGTGTAGGTAAGGCACGTTTGGATATGATTGTGACAGAAGCTTCAAGCTTGTGTTGAAAGAGGAAAGAAAAGGTACCTTAGGAGGGGCGGAGGGATACGAGCGTACATGCCAGCTCTGGTCCACGACCAGAGCTATAGTGCCCGGGCGGTAGCCCCATGACAGGTTTTAACAACCTTGGGAATTCTCATCTTAAGCCCGACCCTAAGGCAGCTAGTTCAAGATTTAGAAAGAGGTTCCTAGGTTTCTTGAAATCCGATAGCTCGAATCTACGCGGTACGAGATACGGCGCTCGAAATTATCATCTTACGTACCGCAAAGACTCGGGGTATTGATTTCAGGGTTCCAAGCCTTAGCCCTCGATTGTGTGCCATAAGTCTACCGAATAATCTTGGGGGATCCGTTTTTGTAAATCTCCTCTCTGAGCGCTGGGCAGGATAGGGCAAGTATAAGGCATGTCCGGTAGTTGTACATGCGAATGTATGTGAGTTAAACTGGAGGGCTGTATTTTTGAGCTGGGGACTGTTCAATTGAGCCTCGTTGACTGTGTGCTCGAGCGGGGGCATAACGACGACGACGACCCTGAATGAGCGGGAAGAAACAGGATAATCGGGATATGAGAAGCGAGTGGAACAAGCACATGTCAACCCCAACACCGCATGCCGGCCATCACCACTGTGTGGCATTACTAATTGTTTGATCGGGCACATATGTTGGTGTATGCTGGCTGACTGGGCTTTGTGTATGCCCTGCCCAGCGTTCAAAGGGTATTTTACAAAGCCGGATCTCCCGAGATTATTCGGTAAGGTTTCCGCAGAGATTTGGGACGGGTCAGTCTGGACTTGCCAGACGTGATGACCGTTGTGACTCGCTCGTTACTGCACCGACTACCGTCGTATGCTAACTTTCAGAGACGAGTCAATCACAATTCTAAGGGTCGGACCTGGACTCTCAGGTAGGTCCCTTCTGCTGTACGACCCGGTCATCGTTTGAGGGTGAGGTCTCAAGAGATGAGTGATTCCTACCTAGAGAATAGCATTTTAAGGGCTGAGAACCAAAGATAACACGGAGAGGTAGCGTTCGTTGTATGTCTTCCATAACACGTGCACATAAGGCATCCGACACAACATGTCTATTCACAGGTACCTACCGTAGAAACTCGAGTCGTTCGCAATTAATTTTCCCTTTCTAGGCACCCGACGGGGAGCAGATCTGTGCAGGTAGCTGGCAGGATCAGGTCGGCCGCTGTGCATTCGAATGTGTGTAAGTTACGGTAGGTAACGTTGAAGGCAATGGCCTTTGGTTCCACTAACTGGAAGACGCATATGCTAGCAGACCGAGCATACAGCTGCCAAATTTCCGCCCCCTACTCAGCGTTCAAAGAGGAGATTGTCAATTGCGAACAACTCCAGTTTCTACAGTACTAGGTAGGTAAGCAAAGACGGGGGGGAGGGTAAGGCACAGAGCTGCAAAACTGCCGCCTTCCTGAGTAGCCAAGGTATATAGCAGACAATTGCACAGGAAACATGTGTAAATCAAGCCCATACCTTCCATGTCCGCTCTGAGCCAGGTTAGTCTCTCGTTCTCCTGCTTCAGGATTTGAGCTTTTCTTTGTCCTTGCCCGTCTCAGTCTCTTGACTTTGACCTTGAAGCTAAAATCCATGCGGTACCGGCTCCCATGAATTCGCTTACTCCTACCAAGTAATATGAGGGCACCTTCTTGCTCCATGGAGGTACATGGTGCCTTACCAATCAGCATTGGAAGTGTGTTTGATCTCGTACGCGGTGCTGGTGGGTATATATTCTCTCCTTCTCCTCCACCAGATCTCCTCCTTTTCCCCTTTGGTTTCTCACTCGTCAGACTCTTCCCGTCTCTTGCTTGCTGTTCTTCGCCCGACTTCGATATTTCTCGCCCTTTTTCGCTCGTTTTCAATCTTTCTCGCCCTTTCTCGCTCTTCGTGGCTTTGCTCTCGCAACGGAGTTTTCTTGTTTCTGTCGTGGACCTTGACTAGGTATCTATCCAGCGAGACGGTGACTTTGTGTATTCAGTTCAGATTCGATATCGACGCGCTTCATGTAGGCGCTTACTAGGATGGCTACATACCCCATCCACAAAAGATGAGTGAAGCTAGCCATCAAATCATAGTCGGCCCCCAAGATTTCATCGAACGAGCAGGCACCCGAATGCCCCAGTCCGTCCTCCAACCAGCAGCCGGAAGTTCCTCCCCGCTCGTCGAGCAAGCGCCCTCTCACCCATTCGGAGGAAGAAAAGGCAGACGAGGCTTTTAAGGAGCTGGAAAAAGCACGCGAAAGTGTCCAGATGGCGCAAAAAAGAATCCGCTTGAGAACCTCATTCGATGAGGAGTTCTGGGGCTTGGCCCTAGACGTTTTCGATGCCGAGTTTAACGCCGCTAATTTTGAAAAGCGGTATCAGATGGCCTTGAGACCGGGGCGAGAAGAGAAGAAAGCCTGGAGGCAGACGGTGGACGCCTCCACAATTTTGGCGAAAATGAGAGCGGCGACGGTACAAAAAGACCTGTACAAGAAACAGGAAACCAAGATCAAAAAGAGTGGAAACCTCCATTGATGCTTTGTTGCCCTGTTCAACACCTCGTCTCTCGGCCTCAATGTCGATAAAGCTGGGGAGGGACGGAGGGCAAGATCGCAACAAGACCGATTCAAGAAAGCGCTGATCGACGCGTACCACGCCGGTATACCTCGCCCTGGAAAGCCGAAAATAATCGACTTCGTTTATTGTCCCGCCACAGGAGAACAGAGGATGAGATGTCATATGGTTGCGGCACACATTGTCCCGGTGCGTCTAGGCAAAGAGCTTATGGCTCAGCTTTTTGGTGAAGAGGCTGTGGCTGAAGTTTTTTCGGCGCATAATGGAATTTTGCTTCCAAATCAGGTTGAGATAGCCCTTGATCTAGGGGTGATTGCTATCGTGCCAGATGTTCCGGATGATGCGGGGGAGGACGCTTGGAGTGTTTGGGAAGCGAGCATCCAACGGGAGTACCGCTGGAAAATCATCGACCGCAATGCAAGGGATGTCCTGGAGAAGAACTTTGTCGAGGGCAAGGACGCAGCCGACTTCATGCTTGTCGAGGAGTTGGACGGAAAAAAACTTCTTTTCCGTCCTACGTCTACCCATCGCCCGAGAGCAAGATACCTGTATTTTGTTTACGTCTGCGCAATCTTGAAGAAGGCCTGGGCGCATAAGAATAGGCGCGACCCGTCGGCGGTTCTCAAGGACCAAATCGGCAAGAGGATGTGGGCCATCAAAGTCAGGTACCTGCACAAGGCCATGTTGGTTGCGATGGCTGAGGAAGCAGGTCATCGTCTTGATGACAAATGGCACTCTCCGAATGCGGACAGTGAAATTGACGAACAGGCAATTGTCCTAATGGCCATTGCCCAACACATTGCCATGCAGGAGACACGCCAAAGAGATAACGATGCCGCCGATGACGAGACTTACGAGACGGCGTACCAGAAGAGCGAGGATGAAACCTGTGAGAACGAAAGTCAACAGGACCCGGAAGAAAACGAATAATGCTGTTATAAGGACAGACACCGACTCATAGCCGAATTGGCGTTCCTCTGTTGTGGCCATTTTGTTGCTCGGATATGGGAGCCATGCGTATGGGTGGTGGTGGTTATGGGCAATTACATCCGATGGAATACCGAAGTGTTAATGGCATGTGATATTAACGTGGGCGAATGTATGTATTGGGGTGTAGTTTGTTGATTTCCGGAGGTGTTCGAGGTATTCACGGAACGAAGGGGCAAGGTCTTGTTATTGTTGTTGTCTTTCTCAAACAGCTTTCTTTCGATGTCTTCTTCTTCAGGTTATGAGCGTGGTGATGGCGAGGAAGACTAAGCCACAGCTCGACAATGGAAAGCCAGTGTCCCATGACAGCGACCGGAGTCTCACAGTTCGGCCCGGTATTCTCGTAATCCCGATGGGTGTATATCGTCGAAACCAGCTCGTCCCACGTTGGCGAATTGGTGCAGCACATGATCACCGGATTGCTGGCCATGATAATCTCCTGGAACGTCCACGCCCACCCGATCCACCCGCGGCCAAGCACGGCGTCGAAACTGCTTACATCCGTTCTCGCTCTTTCTCTCCGCCACGACAAATACTTGGTGATCACAAAGGTAAGATCGCGCGCGACTCAGGGTCCGAGAAGTTGCATGGCAATGTAATACACTCGCAACTCTCCTAGTTTCGGCTGTCGCACTCGTATTCGATCTACGCATATAAGTTAATAGCTTGACTCACCGCACCGTAGTGTATATCCTTATGCACCCTTTTTAACTTGATGCACCACTTACTCCACCAGTGGCAGCTGAATGGCAGCTGACCTGAAAGATCCGCCGTTTTGTATGGTAATTCGCAGCGGAAAAAAATGTTCCCAACATTCATCGCCAAAACTAAACTCAGTAAGTGTGGTAGAAGCGGAAGGTTGGCGTAGAGGTCTCCATTGGAGTTGAGGTGCGTTACTGTTGGTTGTAGTTCTGGTTTCTTGGTGGAGGTGCTGGTAGTGGTGGTCTGCTCTTCTTCTTGAGCGGCTTGCTGCTGGAGTAGCGGCACCATGATGATTGCGTCGCCTTCCATGTTGTTAAATCTATTTTCCCGGTGGTTAACTGGTGATGTCCTTTCTTTGAGAAGTCAGGAGGAACCGATAACGACGAGAATCCAACCGCTCATGAAGCGGTTGCGACACAAAGGTTAAAATATGATCGCGAACGGAGTAACGACCCATGGCGCAGCAGCCAAGGTGGCAGGGGAGTAGGCGCAACTATACCTATTTGAGGACAGCTTGAGAGGACGACTTGTCCCTCTTGGTTCACGGTTCTTCTCGTCATTAATAATAGTTAATACTACTGTACATCAACCAAGACAAGGGCAGGCCCCATTACAATATCAATACTTGTCGTCGTCAACCCGTACCCAAAAAAGATTTGGCGGTTTGGGTAGGAAGACCCCCATCGCATCGAGGAAGAGACCGGCAGCGTTCTTTTTCTTGAGCCTTTCCCCCTTGGTCGTTTCCCATGTTGTGTTGTCCATACATCTAAGCCATCCCGCCCGTCCGTTTACCCTAGGTATCCCATCTATTATATATATCATTCAGATTTCATCAACATCTTTCATTTTCACTTCGTCAGATCACCGCACTCAATGTGTAACCGTCCTCACGGCCTGCAACAACACTCCAAACATCAGGCCCCTCGCCACCTCCTCAATCTGCAGACAATCAAACAACCGTCCCAAAGCTTCCCCAGTAGCCGATTGACCCATCACTCCCGACAAAGCAGCGGGAACTCCACTCTCAATCAACAACTTTCTCGCCTTGACTCTCAACTTCTCCTTCTCCTCATCGCTCATCTCACCGGGCCAGTTCGCCCGCTCCTCTTCGGTGGGGAGTGCGTTCTCCCTCAGCTTGCGCAAGTGCGCTGCAAGACCATCGTCCGAGGTGTTCGCGTCCAAGACGGACGACTGGATGAGTGACTGGATCGAGGAGAGCGAGGGGTTACCCGGCCGAAGGAGGAACGACTTGGCGGCCGCGAGAAGCGTGCGGCGGAAGTTCCAAGCCGAAGAGAGGGTGTAGAGCTCGTTGATGACTGCGAAGAGAAGTTCCACTGCCACACGGGTCTCTTCCTCCGAGAGTTTGGGATATGACTTAAAGCCCTGGAGAGGGGCAGCGCCGGGTCCGGGGCTACGGCTTTGGCTTCTCGAGTGAGAGGCAGAAAGAGTGGGCATTGTGAGAGAGCGGGCGTGATGGGGCGGGTAGTCGTGGATGCGAGAGCTTGGTGCGGGACTAACAGGAGAATTTTGGTAGTTGTCTGGCATCATGTCGGGCGGAGGGGGCAGTCTGAGAGATTCAAGTGTGAGACTGAGTGATGAAGGAGAACGGAGGGAGGGTGGCGCGCGACTAGAGGCACGGCTTTGATCGCGGCTGTCACGCGCAGACGTCCTTCCGTAGCGTGCGGACTCTACCTCGGTGCGGTAGTCAGTGCTAGTTCGACGATCCATAGGGTCGACCTTGCTGGGCTGTGTAGAGATGATGGATGATCTTTGGCTGTCAATGCTTTCACGAATACGGTTCAGCGATGCACTACTGTCTGGTCTAGGGATTGTTGACATGGAGAGACGACTAGCCGCTGTCACGTCGGTAAGAGCAGACTGCGGTGCCCCAGACGTGGAATTCCCACTTGCAGATGAGGCCGCGTTCTTCTTGTGTCCGAGACCGATAGTCCCTAGAACACCGGTAAACCCGTCCACCAGGGCCTTGGAACCTTCGAGAGGAGCACTGGTCATAACGTCAAAGACGCCCTTTCCAATCTTCTCAAAGGCCTCGAATCCCGACTTTGGCCGGACGGGCATGTTAGCTGTATCCCTTTCTAGGAATTTCTTCATGCCCTCGCTCTCCGCCAGTGGCTTATAAGAACAGGCGTCTTTTACATAGCGTTCGAGCTCTTCCCGAAGAGAGGTTCTGGTAGCGCCCTTCCACTGTGGCAATGCCTTGTGCTTGGTGTTAAACTCGGTGGCTCCAGAGATAGCAGCAATACGGCGCAGAACCTCGTGGAGACGCTCAAAGTCGGGATATTTTCGCACAATCATCCAACCTGGGTAGATCGAGGTGGCGGGTTCGATCTGTACGAGATAATCCCATCCAGGCTTTGAGCCAAGGTTTCGGTCACCGGGCTCGTCCAGAATAGTGATATTAGCGTTGTGCAATGTCAAAGGCGGTGGCTTAGGCCTTTGCTCATCGACCGGGGTTTCTGCCCGCGCAGGAGGGACGATTTGGTCAAAACTGGTAAACCGAGAGGGCCCATCAGGCCGAGATGGTGCCTGCTCCGGCGTCGGCGAGCTCTTCCCAGAAAGAGGCGTTGGAGGTGTCTTGATCGTATTGGAAGTTCCGCTAGAACCATTGCTTGACGTTGAACCCTTTGACTCGGGCTCGGTACGGGCCGCGATCGGTTGTACCGCATGTGGGTGTTCCTCAGAGCTGCGCTTGAAAGCATCGGCAAACTGATCCGGCTCTTCCGCCACGACTGTTTGCTGCAATGGCACCGACCCTGATTTGGCCATGATATCCTTGGCCTCCTTGTCGCGTTTCGACTCTTGTTCGGCAATCATTTCATTGAGCTTCTTCATATCTTCCATGAGCTCCACCTCTTCATCGGCTTTACTGAGCTTCTTCTTGTGGGAGGCAATCGACTCCTTCCGGCGCACCTTCTCCGTCTCGAACGAGTTCCTATTTCCTCTGGTGAGACCAATGTTGCCCACGTTTCCATCGAAATCGGCAAAAGTCGCATCAGCTGCAGCAGGACCAGTCTGCATGCCCTCGTCGATAGCTTGGCTGAAGTCCGGTTCGCCCGCCTCAAGCAAATAGACAATCCATGAGTTGATCCATTCAGGCTTGCAGCAGTTCTGAAGCGTCATTTCAAGGACGACTCCAGCAAGGATTTCCCTCAGGAACACTCTGGCAGGATCACACTCGTAGGTGGGCTTGTCCAAGAAGGCCAGCAGGTCCTCAGCAACCATCCTAAACTTGCCGGCCTGCTGTCTCTTGTTGAGTAATTGCGCAAGGTTCGAGTCGGGGTTGGCCGCAAGGTAGGTGTAAAGGGCATCGGCGGCCGAAACTTTGACGTCCGCGGGAAACTCGGCAAAGGCATTGGTGAGCTCGGAGAGGAAGACAATGACAATGGACGACGAATTTGTCAAGAAATCCAGAAAGGCGTCCGCTGGTCGTTTCCTCTTGAGGTGGTTGGAAATGGCGAGAATGAAGGAAGTCAGGGTCCTCTTGCAGGCCAGAGGGAAGAACTTGTCCGAGGGTACCAGCGGAGAGTACCACCACTTGACATATCCGCTGATGACAGCGTCGATTAGCTCGTTGATGGCTTCACGTGTTTCTGGCTGGAAATCTTCGAGGCGAAGGGCTAATGCGGCTTCTTGCTTGTCGACGTCTTGTTCACTCTGGGTGACCTCGGCCTTGGTCTTGGTCTCCAATAACCTCGCGATAAGGTCAACGCCCTTTTCTCCCTTGAGGGCCCGGGCTACTTCGGCATTGCGCTGCTCCCATTGTATGTAACCGACGACACCACCGAATGCCCCTATCAACACAAGTCCGAGAGGACCTAGTACGAAGTATGTAACGGCGCCGAGACCGACAGCAACTCCGCCGAGTGTTCCGGGGGTTGCGGTAGCCAGAAAGCGGAAAGCTTGTGTTGCCAGGTCCTCCTCCTTGTTGGTGGTTGTAGATGTTATATCCGAGGCGGCCGAAGAGAACCCTCCACCGCCTTTCGCCTCGTCATTGAAGTAGTCGTGGTCTTCTTTCGCTTGCGGGACGGGATCGGCGGCAACGGGGTCTTTAGTCGTGGGGGAGCTCATAACATCATCGGGTATGGCGCCCGGAGTGGGCGCATCTTTGTCGGTCATTAATATCGGTTGTTATAGTACGCTAGGGTCGGTTGGTCGGTAGGGCAGAAGAAGTCTGGGGAATATGGATCATTCATGGAGTAGTCGGTGTCGTCAATCGTTTCATGAATACGGTCGCAAAGGCGGGGGAGACGGGCGACGGGAACAGTGGATGAAAGTCGTGGAGCTAGCTGGTAGAGGTAGTCGTTCGTCTTATGTCTTATAGGGACGGAAGCAAAAAGGACAGGTCGCGCCGGGGCCCGGGGGGACAGATCGTGGTCAAAGTCGGGGTAAGGTCCGTTGTAACAAAGAATCAGAAATAGGAACAAGTGGGAAATGAGATGTCAATCATGTTGTGTTTCGAGAAGTCTGGTGCGAGCAAAGTCCCTGTTCTGTTCCCCCGGCCTTCCAATTCCTCAACAATCGTTCGTCTCTGTGGTTCCAGGCACCGCAGTGGTAACATTTTCAGGGGGATCTGCCCCGGGTTCAACGGGCTTGTCTCCACTTGAAATTGTCCCCCCCCCCCCCAAAAGTCTTCGTTCTTGGGGTATTTAGCTGAAGGATTGGCACCCTTGGAATTATTCCTCTTCTTCTTCAGGCCAACCAATACCATGAACTTTCCCAATTGGAGCTCCCATTGATTGGAGCTTGTCTCCTTGACAGCTGCCCAGAAAATGCAGACCCCCTGCCGGCCCCCTTTTGGCGTCCAGATTCTGTACAGTGCACATTTACAGGGCTGGCTGCCAAGCGCCAAGACTGTTGACATCGACGCTCGCTAACTTGCACTAACAATTACAACAGCGACCCCTCCACGAAGCTTCAGTTCACGTGTGGTCGCGTTCGATATTAAGGGAGGCACCATCGACGACGTCACTGCCCTCTGCGTTTGGTGTCGCGTTGTTTCTTCTTCTCGCGCCTTCCCAGACTCAGTTGCCGGTCGCTCGTTTCATTCTCACAAATCTCTCACTTCAAATTCCGCCAAATCTCCCGCGGCATCTGATCCAGTGCGCCGCTCTTTCTCTCATTCCAATAACTCCAGCAACTCATCTACAAGATCCCACCTTCTCAACCGCCAGCATGCCTCCCAAAAGAAGACAGGCTGAGGACACCAGCGATGCTGAGCCCCAGTACGCTAAGAAGTCCAAGGGTAACACCGGAAAGGCTCAGCCTCAGGAGCTGACCAAGGGATCCGACCAGGATGGCAACACTTTCTGGGAGGTTTGTCCACCAACAAAATCACTTTGGTGTGGTAAATGAGCTCAAACTGACACATTCGATAGCTTGGAAGCAACCGTCGAATCAGTTCTTCGGTGTTCAGGAATACCACCTTGATTAATATCAGAGAGTACTACAATGCCGATGGCAAGCTGATGCCAGGCAAGAAGGTGAGCTACTCCTCTCACCCATCTCTCACGCTCACCAGTGGACTAACCCCACCGCCAGGGCATCTCCCTCTCACTCGCTCAATACCAGGCCCTCCTCAAGGTCATCCCCCAACTCAATGCCGACCTTCGCAAGCAAGGTCACGCCATTGAGGACCCAGAGTTTGCCGAGGTAACCGAGCAGACCGACGCCCCCGTGAGTCTCCCAAGGTCAAGGCGCTGGAGTCCAAGAAGGAGAACAACAAGAAGGAGAAGAAGCCGCGCAAGTCCAACATTGACGTTACCAGCGACGAAGAGGAAGGTGCCGAGGATGAGGACGACGACGAGTAGAGCAAATCGGTCCGCCAAGCGAAACATCTTTGGGCGTCGCAAAAGTGGTAAATACGGGTACGAGATAAACCCTTTGTTGCCGACCGATTGTCTTTCTTTGCAGGCGCGCTGCGGATGCCATCTTCTCTACGTTTGCTAGGTGGAATTTGGCTCGTCATCTGCATCTGACCTTGTCCTTGTTTTGGTCACTGGATTTTACTGGCATTTTGGCTTGTTGTGAGGAGATACCAGGGCTTTGGGTCAAGATTCCTGTGGGTTTGAATCGGTGGCGCAATGCCATATCGTTCGGTCCGGATACGACTTCTACATGTTGGGCTTATAAGGGAACAGGAAACCGGCGTTTTCGGCTTATATCAGGGGTTTCATTAGTCTATGAACATGTCTCACGACATTCATAAGGCACATCTTGCCAAGGGAGCTTTTGTCAGGTAACAAAAGTCAAATTCAAAAAAGCTTACCAAAAAAACTAACGCACTCATTATGTCCCATTATCGTGTCACATATACCCCATTAGAATGTCCGTTTTCGCCCTTCTCAGACTCCCTCACTCTCTTGCCCCTTACTCCTCACTTTTCCCCCCCCCCTCCTTTCCAGCTTCCTCAGCCTGCCTCTTCCTCAGCGCCTCCCACTCCCCCTCCAACATCCCCAACCTAACAATATCCCACCACCTCCTCTCATACAACACCGCTTCCCTCTCCCTGCCCTCCTCCACAAACCCCAGCTTCTTATACAGGTTAACCGCCCGCTCATTGTACGCAAAAGCCGCCAACCAAATCCTATGCAATCCCATCCTCACAAACCCCCAATCCAGCACCCAATCAATCGCCTCCCCTCCATACCCCTTCCCTCTATACCCGGTGGTAATCCCAATCCCAATCATCGCATTCCGATGATGCAACCCTTCCTCACCAGGCGCCATGAGTGTCAATACTCCAATCGGCTTCGGCTCGGGCCTCGGATATTCCCCCTTGAGTTTCTCAACATCAAGTGTAGCAGTCAAACCGATCTTCTCCCCCTTTTCTTGGATCAAAGCCTCCCATTGCGCAATCTCTTCCTCCGTTGGAGGCAGACAGACGAAGACGCGTATGTGAAGAAGGTGTAAACGCTCGTAGAAACGCTGCACGGCTGCGCTGGGTTGCGGGGATAAAGGGCGCAGGGAACCCATGGCGATGGAGACGGGATCGTTGTCGGCGAAGGACCAGAGGGTTTGTCTGTCCATGGGATTGTCTTCGATTGCACGGTAGATGAGGCGGGGAGAACGCCAGGCGTTGAGGAGGGTAGGGGCGTAGGGCTCGGGGGTGGACATGTTGGCGATGGTGGGAGTGAGGTTGAGGTTGAGGTTGAGGTTCGACTTGAGGCTTGACTTGAACTTGAACTTGATACTAGGAATTGGTCAACGTCAAGGCGCCGAAATATATTAACAACCCGAAGAAAATGTGACAAAACAGGTGTTTATACGTTTGATGATCGTCGAAAGAGTCAAGACCACAATATAGTAGAGGTACGTATGATACTCACGTTGTGTGGTATCCCGTCTGACATTGACTTTCCAACCGTTGCTCAACTAGGAAGGTGACAATTGTCAGATTCGTAAGTCGGACTCGTCAGTAATGGCTCGGACTGACGAAGCTTGCTACCTCTAGTAGAGAAAAAGAAAAAGAAAAGGAAACCACCTCTTGAGTTGGGAAACCCACTTATTTACTCCTTTTATATCTGGAAAATTGACGACTTGGAGTGTCGTTGACATGGCTTGAGTGAGTCAGCAACGCCGTCTTCATCTTCCTTTTCTCTCTCATGCTCCTCATCCATCTCCGATGCAAACCTCCATCTTCGTAGCTTAGGTACCGTTTTCCACCCCTTAAAAAAAGGAACCAAGTAAGAGTCATTCACGATCCAGTCTGAAATTAGGGCCCTGATCCCTGCCACTTTCTTTTCTTGTAGTCGTGAAGTTGTAGGGAATATGCATCCCAAAACCCAAAAAGGTGGGTCGGGTCGGCTATGTTACCCTGGTGCAGTACGAAGTACAGCTATAGTGGGCTGTGTAAAGTTTAGTATTGTTTGTTTGGTATAGGTGACGAAGAACAATGCTAAACTATAGCCGGGTCTAGGCTCGGAGATTTTTTTTTGGTGTTTTTATAGCTGTCGTAAGCTTCCTATGTGATGGAAGGTGGTGGTGGTGGTTTCAGCCACCCAAGCGAGCCAAGGTTCAAACTTGAGAAGTTCCTATCCCATCCCTTGAAGACAGAAGCCAAAAGTACCTGAAGGGAATCGCATATGTAAGCTAACAAAAAGCTTAAGCCAGCCACCTGCACACCGTGATTGTGAAAGTTCCAGGTTTGAACCTGAACCGAGGATTCGGTTGAAGCCTCCCTTTGTTGTACGATGAAAGGGTGGCTTTCCGTGGCTTTAGCTTGCGGTGCGGTGATTTCGAGATGGTAGGTGAAGCTACTATGGAAATTTTGTTTTACAGCATGTGATAGTGAGAACAATGTGTATGGTTTTAGCGAAGATTGGCATTGTTTCTGTTACCACAAGCTGGAAGGAACACGAGGCTTGAGGAAGATGATCTGAAAATTTGTTCCTCTCCTGAGGCGCGATACTGGGAGAAGGAAGACAACTGAAGAGTCATGGCCTCTGGAAACCCATTTCAGATTCGTCATGTAAACGCATGTCGATGACTATTACAGAATCCCATCATTCCATTTCAGGCAGGCGGTAGTGCATCTCACACCTACTGAATCCTACTAAATCCTTTGAACTTAGAGCGCTGACGCGGTAACTTGACCACCGACAACAACTTTTGTCAGGACTATTTATTGATGGATGAAGCCTGTGGTTACAACGGCGGCGAGCCGCTTCAAGACCAGCAACTGCCGTCACACTCAGCATTCGGCGTCCGGAAGTCTAGCCCCTTGTGGAACGCCGGACCGGCGCCATCGATCGGGCTTCCGTCTACGAGCCGCGTCAGTCATTGTTCTATCAACAAGCCCGGTACGTAATTCCTGGCGAAATGAACGAAAGCTCAGCTTGTCTCTCGGTTGGAGCTCCGAAGGCTTGCAGCTCAATGGCAAGAACCTACTTCAAGATATCGGTTGCGGTACTACATATGCTTTTTGGTGGCACTCGTGGTGAACTGACTTACCTAGGCACATCTGTCGCTCGTTGGCATTGTGCTTTCTACACCTCCGCGGAGTGAGTTCCGATGCTGGCGTTTTGAACATAGCCACCACCAATTAGGTCAGGATTGTTGAGTAGGTAGACCTAGGGTGCAACAAACGATTCATTGGTATCATATAGTAAGAACAAGTCCCGGCCGTCCATCCATCCATCCATCCATCCATCCATCCATCCATCCATCCATCCACCAATAAGTCACTCCCGTTTCTCCAGCCGAGGCAAGCCTTCTGTTGACAGCAGGCCCCGGATAAATGACCGACTCAAAAGATACACACGTGAAGAGAAGAATGTTCTCTGTAAAGGATAAAAGATGTACAGAAATCTGAAGAAAAAAAGTTACAGCCGCTAAAGACAAGATCGGGACCATCGACTCAAGCATCGCTCGAACGATCCGACCGATCCTTGATAGTCTTTTTCGTAGACTTTGCTGTTCCGATATGGGTATTATGTACCTGTAATGACACCACGTTAGCATCTCTGTGTTGCATACATCCCCATGAACCAATGACTCACCTTAGTAGCAAACCTCAAGCTGGTAATCGTCTCCTTCAAGTGAGCCTCCAACGGGCTCACCATCACGAACATCAACGTCTTCGAGTTACCTCCCAGCGAATACTGCAGCAGATGCGTTAACTTAGAATTCCTGTACGGAATGTGTGACGACCCTCTGCCCAAAGCCTCGATAACATCCCCCAAGCATGCCAAGCTCTTGTTGATGTTCTGCGTCTCCTTCATTCTCTCCCCTTCGGCCTGCGAGTGCTTCAGCCGCTCGGAACCAGCCAGATCGACCAGGTTCAGGGTACCTTCGCACCGCTCGTTCGTGACCGAGTTCTCGCCCACAAGCTTGAGGATGAAGACAGAGTGGGAGCGCGAAGATCGTTCGTTGGCCTTGGTGGCCGCCACGCTGCGATTATTTTGCGCCTGCTTGAGCATCATCTCCACCTTGTCGGCCGAGTCGAGGGCGACGGTCTTGCAGTTGAGCACCGTTGTCTGCTTGCGAACATCGTCATGACGGATCTCGAGTTTCTTCTTGCTGTTATTGTTGCCGTCGAGCAGGTCGTGCAGCTCTTCGTTGTATACCTCGACGAAACTTCCTTCCATGGTATACGCCCACGACTTCTCCCTAAGTTTCGTGATGGTATCGTATATCATGTGGGTTGCTCGTGGGATCATGCCATCTGGAGAAGACATGGTGTACGTCTTTCCGGAACCGGTTTGACCATAGCAGAAGATACACACGTTGTAACCATCCAACGCACTCTGCACCAGCTGGGAGATCTCGTCGAAGATTTCCTCGTTGTGTACTGACGGGGCAAAGACGCGGTCGAACTCGAAGGGTAGCACCTTGCGGTTGATGTTGCCAAAGCTGCTCTTTTCCTCCAGCCCGGTTACTTCGATCTGTGCGGACGATGTTTTCGCATCGGGGAACATGATCTTGGCCTCGTTGCCTTCGGTTTTGGTGAGTGCAGGACGGACTCTGCACATGACCCGGATGTTGCCTTTCAGTTCCTGATACTTGTTGAACAATATCCGCCTCTCGGTCTCCTCCTTGATGAGCTTCTGTTTGGCGTTCTCCGCAATTTCCAGGGCCTCTCGGAGCCGTGCCTCCATCTGCGCAAACGAATCCGATTGTTGCTTGCTATCGGATTCCAGGAAATCAATTTGCGCCCTGAGTCCTTGGTTCCGAGCTTCGAGTTTCCCGTTGGTCGTCGCCATTTCACTGATCTGTTCCTGCAGCGCCCTTTTGCTCCTCTGCTCCTGACTGAGCTCTGACCGCAGATCGTCCAATTGAGACTGTAGTTGTCGTAGTTCTCGCTCTCGTTCAATGAGTGTTTTGTTGATGTCTTGCTGTTCCGCCCCAAGCTTCAGTCGTAGTTCTTGGACTTCCTTTGCCGTCTTTGCCTTTTCACCCTCCAGATCCGCCCGGCATTGCCTCTCGAAGGCCTCCTTCTCCTCGCGGTTGATTCTTTGCAGTCGGTCGCTTTCGTCTTTCAGCTTTCTTTCGAGTTCTTGAACTTCATTTTCGTGCTCTCTTGACTTGTTCTGAAGCTGATATTCATGGTCCATCTTCTGTCTTTCGAATGTGAGGGTTAGTTGTTGGAATTGCTGTCGCAAGGCATCCATCTCCTTCTGCAGCAGTTCGTTTCTCTCGTTCAGTTTTTGCCGCTCCAGTTCAAGCGTGTCCACTAGTAGGATGTTAGTCCGGTCCTATCAAGTTAATACACTCGTTGCCACGTACCTTGACTCTTTGCCATCTGAACGGCTGTTTCCATGGCCTTCTTGTCTTGCAAAGAGATGTTGAAAGCCTCCTTCATCACCTTCCACTCAGCATCAACCTCATTGAGGCGCTCGTCGACGTCTATGCCTGTGAATGCAGTGTTATTAGAGTCCTTGGTGAGAAAAGAAAGCTTGATAGGTGAGACGGATTTTCGGGTCGAGGCCTCTTTCTGAACGGAGACGACGGCAGAGTTGAGAATGACGTCGAACCGCTCCATAGCCACACGGGGGTCTTCCAGTCTCGACTTTGGCTTTGGGGGTCTCCGGGCACGCCGCTATCGACTGTCGGAGAGAGGATTTGCGTCGTGCAGTTTCGGCTCCTTCGGTCTTTCGTCTGGGCCTAGCAGGCACCGCCTTGGCATCCGACTAAGACGCCTTTGAGGCGGGCTGCGAAGTCTTCCGAGGCGTCACTTGACTCCCGCTGGGGATGTTTTCCTTCTCATCATCACAGATCGACAAGTCCTGCAGGCGTCTGCTCAGGCCCGAAATAGTCCTTCCCTTCTCTTGCCCTTTACCCGATGCTGAAGATCGAGGCGAGGGAGACGGTCTTGTCTTCTTGGGCTTCATTTTGGTTCCGGGGATGGGTATAGAAGATGGAAATTCCGTACCATTGGGTGGCTGGGTAGGCGCTGGCTGGGTAGGCGCCACGCTAACGTCTCTCGAAGGTTCACGGCTGCTCATCGATGTCGCTGGTCGAGGCTTCGAAATGGATCGTGTTCGGTTTGTTGATTGGGTGAAGCTGGGTTGTCGCAATCCTGTCACAGGTGGTCGGCTTGAAGGGCCTAAGCTCTTTGCGAAGCTGGACGGGTTTGTCGAGGAATAGGTTGGCCTATGACCGGTCGCCGAGTTTGCGCGCGGCAGCGCTGTTGTCGTCGTCTTGTTCGCATTTCGGGCCTAGGTAAACTCTCAGTCAGAACCGGCCTGGGCCATAAGAATGCGCTCTAGTAACCATCTCCCGACAAGCATAGGGGCTGTATGTCACGCAGTGGTATTGGAATCGTATTTGTGATAAGTGACCGGACTTGTCGTGATGGTTGAATTTGAGGAGAGCAAACATGATTCGGGATGTATCGTGCCGATGGACGGAGGTTTAGACCTACATTAGCCAACTGGACGATTGACGAGCCGGTTATGTTGCCCGTGAGAAAGGCGCTGGTGGGCGTCGGCGCCGGTAATTGTGACTTTGGCTGGATCGGCTCGCCAGCCCTCTCAGCGAGGGTTTTTCCGTTTCGCATCAGGCGGCGCGACTGAGGAACATTGCTGGTCAGCTATCGAGAGCTTTGACAATGGCATAGACAAAGCCATGATGTGTGTAGTGGTGTTTGACTTGGCTGATGGAACAAGAAGAAGCAGGCGGACGGTAGGGCATGTCTTACCACCGCTGTCGTTTGCGGCGCGCTTTGTGGGAATGGACGACATTTGCGCTCGCGCGTTGCTCTGGGAGTCGGAGATCTCTTTGAGGCCGGCGGGAGCAGTCGCGGTGGCCGTGGCGGCGTAGGTGGTTGGAAGTCGCAACTTGGTTGAGGCTGGAGGAGGAGGAATAAGGGCGTTCTACAATTTTCGATAAGCGGTAGGGATATCGTCAGCAGGTTCAAGTGCTTCTCCATAAGGGCCCTGGGGGGTAAACAATCAAGACAGAGTGTTTCAATCATACGTACCCTGTTCTCGGAGCTCTCCATGGTGAGCGTGCGCATGCGAGGGATGATGTTGTTCACCAACACACACGAGCCGAGCAGCAACGCCCCGGATGTTGAAGACAGTGATGGCGCCGTTGTGAATGAAAGCCGTTGTGCTGCTCTTCCACTTCGGTCATGCGCTTTCAGTGACGGCGTGCCGGCTCCAGAGCGTCGATTGGCGTACAAGTGGTCCAGTGGGACTTGCGAGTTGGGCCCGGTCCTGGCCCTGCATCGCTTTGTTTACTTCACCACGGCAACCGTTTCTCTCCAGCGCTGTGTCCAATCGTTCGATCTTGAGCAACCAGACGAGCGGGGCTCACAGTGTGCAAAGACCACCTTCGACCACCGAGATGGTACGTACCTTTTTGTACCTTGCGCTAGACCATTCTGTGCAGCGCCAAGACATCCGCTCTTCCTTCGGTCTTCATTCCCCCGACCGTCCAATGTTCCATGTTGAACTTGACAACTGCAAGGCACTGGAAGACAACATCACCGTATTGACTTCTACTCTAAGTCAATGTCTGCCCTGTATTGGTCTACAATCTTCATCGACAAGAAGATGCGTCAAATTTGGCGACGATTCGCCAAGTCTTTGATGTTTCCGGTAGTAAACCATAAACCTTGACAATAGCATCGATCGCACTCCACGTTCACGCATCTGGCACCACCCTCCATCTAGCTTAAATCTGGCTTATAAACAAAAGCTGGAGCCAGAACGAGTACATACGACCATACCCACTGGAAAGCTCGGGATCCCGTCCGCTCTCCCATAGATAAGCCAGTGAGGGCCAGACTAGTAGTTGGGTCGGTGACGACCAGCGAATCCCTGGTGTTGTATGTTTTTTGTCCCCTTTTTCTCGTTCCTTCAACTATAATTATAGTGATTTGCTTTCTCTTTCTTTTCTATCCCATCTCAGTCATTTCTCTTTGTTAATAGTGTACCACCCGTACAATGAAGGGAAGCTGTGTCTTGCACCAGGAATCAAAATGAATACCGGACCAGGCAAGACTCGATTCAATTCCACAAAAGCACCTCCTGCCTATCGAACCCAGCAAGACTGGCGTGATGGGATTGTACCGCAACGTTATTGAATGTCATGTTCGTTAAAAACTGCTGGATTTCCAACTCATAAAATGAAAGATGACAGCTCCTATCCGCAATGCTCAGTCCGATTCTAAACACATCATCCTCATTAATCTCATCAACCCTCCTTATCAAAACTCCGTATAAAATCCATCCCTCCATCCACCTTTTCCCAACATCTACCTCCGCCTCTTCTCCCAAGCCTTCACGAAATTCTTCTTATCCTCCACCGTCAACCCGACCCTCTTTGCCCTGCCCAACCTCGCCAGCGTTTCCGCGACTTTATCCAAAACCCTCTGCTCCTCCGCCGTCAAATCTCCGTCATTCTCTCCCCCTCTTCTCCGGAGGTCAGCACCCGAAGCTTCACCATGCGAAGACGACACACCATTAGCAGCCCCCACGGTATTAACCACCCCCTCGCCAATGCGAATCCTAATACAATGCGTCGGCCTAGCCAACAACTTCCACAAGAACCCCCACCACACCTTCACACCGCCGGGAACAGGCGTGGTGTCGTCCACGGGAGTATACCGCAGACTCAGCGGGAAAATCTGCGCCGAGCTTGGAACGGTAAGTAACGATGGCGAAAGTGGCAGGATACCCTTTCCGTTGGTCGTCGCGCACTCCGGGAAGACGGCGATGGCGCGGGTGGGGTATTCTTTGAGTAGTTGGGCGATGGTCGTCAATTTCTCGTTGTCTCCTGCAGACGTCAACTGGCGTGGGCTGAGCGCGAGGGTAACAGCCTGCCAAAGAGACAGTTTCCTGACCTGCTGGGAGTTGGGGAAACTCTGCACAAACACACAATCCCACACCGCAGCCAGATAGACCGCGTCCAAAGGACTAGTGAAGTTCGCGGCGATCACCGTACCCGCGCGCGGGATTCGGGAAGGGGGTTGTTGGGAAAGCGAGCCGCGCTTGACGCCGTCTAACTGTAAATCGGACCACCAGGTTCCTGTCAGGGCGAAGATGCCCCAGAGTAAGAGCTTGCGGAGCGGGGAGGGGAGGAGAGGGAGGAGCAGGAAGTAGGTGGTTGTGTAGAGGATGAAGAAGGGGAGGCGGAGGAGAAAGATTAGAGGGCCGAAAAGGCGCGAGGGGAGGGAGGCGTCGGGGGCGGGCGAGGGCATGAAGGGGGAGATGCCGGAGCCTGTTTGAGGGGGGACGGAGTTAGTCTTGGCACAGGTTGAGATGAGGGAGGGGAGAGGGGGGAGGGAGGAGAGGATCCTTACCGCGATCGCGGAATTGAGAGAATTTTTCCATTGTTACGGTTGTCTCGTAGCTATGTCGCTGTGTTATCGGGATGTGTATGTGAAAGCTATATCGGCGATTCGTGGTAGATAGGATAGTCGCGGGTGGTATCGCGACGAGAACTGGACTAGCGATTTGCGATCGTTGACTGTCGTCGAACGAGCGATTTTGTAAAGTAAAATTCGTCGGTGTCTGTAGGAATTGAAGAACAGCAGTCGTGCCCCTTGCGAGATGTCGAAAAAGCCGAAGCTGGTTGCGGTTCAAATTTGTTGAACTGGGAGATCCAGACCTTGGAGTTTGGAATCTGGCAACAACGACGTCAGGGGTCAAGGTGCTGTCCGCGACTTTTGGATCCTTGCGACTCCGATCTGCGGACATGTGAAGAACTGGTCTGTGCGTTGTTGGTCAACCAGCCAAAACTCCTCCACTTGATTATCGTGAGCCAGAATAGGTGAGGTCGAGGTATATGTCATGGGGCTGGCGCCTAAGGGTGTTTGCCTGGCTTGAACTCTATGTAAGCCAGGCCTGCCCTCCGACTGGGTGCACTTCTGGGGTGCGCCGCACGAACCACATTTTCGACCTTGGCGTTTCTAGCACCTTCGATATCCGCACCTCTCTTGTGTATTTAGCTGTAAGCTCCATGCCATATTGGCACAGACTTCCCTTTTCCTCTTTGTCGGATATTATCACTTTCACTAAGGCCTACCTGCGTGTATACCTCGTAGAACCCTTACAGTTTAGTTCAGTTGAAAATCTGAAGGTAAAGACGCGATTTATATCTTGAGAACCTTCTGATGTTCATGAAAGCTAACTACACCTCCCAGTTAGAAGTACTAAGTATATGGAGTAGATGTTGGAGTAAATGGCAGAAGTAAGTACCTTGTGTAGTATATGCCTAGCCTACTCAGCTGAGCTTGGCGTAAGTGGAACAGTGCACTTGATGGCGAAGGCAATGGGAAAACGGTTCTCGAAACGAGAGCAGCGTTTTCTACTAAGTCACCCAAACCCCAATTAAAAATGACTGCTATAGATAAGCTACCCCTCAGTGTTCTTATCTATGGGAGCGGAAAGGACAGAAAACGGATCTTTTAGTTACATGGTAGGGTCAAGAAACTGAACCCATATCCATATT